TATTGAATTTGTCTAGTAGGATAGTACCGAATCGTTATGATAAATTAAGGTTGAACCTACCTGTCCCTGTTGTCCCTACTTCGAATTTTATTTATTTAGCTCTCTGATTGGTTGATTAACTTGGAGCCGGCCAATCATAAACATGTCGATCGCCTAATGTAAAGCTACTAGGCACTGTGTTCTATTTTCAAAAGTGATGACCGAAATTAAAAATCTACAAAAAAAAACAAAACAGCCGTAAGTCACTTAAATGTGGGATCGTAAAAGAAGCATAATTTTTTTTAATTGTTATTTAAAAAATAGAATAGTCCACCCTCTACTGCAAAAGAGTTTTAATACCTAAGCGCGTTTCCAGCCAATCGGGGGTCGTTAGGTATTTGAAGATTGAGAATTTGGGCGTCAACGTTCTCACATTAAGAAAATCATAAAAGATACTTTTACATTTCATGAAACGTAATTTTATTTTATCTGTATCTTTCCAAGTTGGCCGACTGAGCTCCGTAGGAGGACTAAATATAATCGTAGCTGAGGCACTTAATTTAAGAATTTATGAACTTTCCCCGACCTTAGATTCAGCTGGCTTTACTTATCTTGAAGTCGTTAATTCCAGGTCAACTTGAATTGGAAAGGTATTGTTATTATTTGAGTTTTTCTTATTTTGCAAACTTCAGCCGTGGTCAAAGTTCCTTTTTACTCAGTATGCCCGCTGATTCTGAAGAGTTTGTTTGTTTGTTTATTTGAACGCGCTTATCCCCGGAACTTTAGGTTCGAGTAGAATATTTCTTTTTGTGTTTCTTAGTCCATTTATCGAGGAAGGCTATAGGCTATTAAACATCATGCTACGATTTTTAAGAGATGAGCAGCGGGTGAAACCACGCGAGAGTATAGTGCTTAATATTGAGGAAAAGCTTTTTTTATTGACTAGTTATCATGATGGCGATGATGACTTAGTATTGAGGTATGGGCTTTAACCTTTCAACCGTCTCTGTCAGTTACAGACGACAGACGAAAAATGGTCTATCTGGTGTTTTGCCAATATCCAGTATAGCCGACCAGAAAACGTCCTAAATAAGATTTGGTATTAGTTTTGTCATCTACTAGGCTGTTAAAAGGTTAAATTGGGATATATGTGGAGAAATATTCGCCAGAATTTTTCGTTTGCGTTGGCCAATTCCTTCATAATAACCTATTTTGGAGTTGAAGTGTGTCGTAGTTGAGAGAAAGAGTCTACACCCTCATTCACGTATCATCTAAGGCTAGAGGTGTTACTGAAATTTCTCCCCAAAAAGGGGTAATAGAAGAATTATTATGCTATGAACATACTTACATTGTCACACGTAGATCTTTCTCAAGTCTGAAAGTGTCGACATCTCTGGGATTTCGAAAGAACTACGTTGACAACCAGCGGATAAGGGACAGATGATGTCGATATGATTATATCACCAAGAAAGATAACTATTTATAACAATAACTAGCGACTCGCCCCGGCTATGCACGGGTACAAAGCTGATACTAAATGACTCTTTGATAAATCCAGGTTTCCTCATGATGTTTTCCTTCACCGTATGTCAAATGTGTAGTGTTTCAAATTCTTAATAATCATAGAAAATTCCAAAAGTCTCCAAAGTGTAGGCATCTGTAACGGATCGCGTCACAATCAGTTCAGCTGTTTACGTGGAAAAGTATACAAATAATACGTATTTACTGTGTTTCAGAGTCAGATGACACAAAGGAATTAGCGTACCTACCTAAAGTTTTACCGTAACTTAAATGACCTATTAATTTTACCTATCATTCAGATATTTACACCATGGACTACCTGTACTTCGAGGGTTTTCTGCAATCTCCACACTTGGCTAACGGCATGGTGTAACCACAGCGTTGTGTTTCGCTGTGTGAGTGAGGTTACTGGAGGCCCAATCCTTCTCCACTCTCACCCCATCCATTCCCAATCTTTCAATAACTCTAAGATGCCTCTAAATACTCTAAAAACTCTTTTGGTGTTGCGGGTGTCCATGGGCGGCGCTGATTGCTTACCATCAGGTAAGCCGCCTGCTCATTGCTGACATATACTATAAAAAAATGGAGATAAAACAGCTATCCAGATTCTGCTTAATAAGTTTCTATGGGGCCAACGGAACAGAAGTTTAGCCAAAGCGGGGCAAGCGCAGAAAGGTACCGCAGCCTTAACCTCGAGCAGGAGAAGGTACAGGGTGGTTTGTACCCTGAGCTAGAAAAGTCATTTGATGATATGCCCCCCCCTCCCAAAAGGGCTTAAACGAGTACTCATAGTGACCAAGTAAAGCGTATTTACTTAGGTAGAAGATGACTTAGAGGAAAACGTTAACTTTTACCGACCGTAATTTGGTCAAAATAGGCACATATAGGTGCGTAATTACTTAAATACGTTACTAATTAAGTCCGGATTGACGTTTTGATTGGGATGCAAAGATGTACAAATTAATAATCAAATTGTCGTCACAAAAATACGTGGGCTCTAGTAAATAATATAGGAAGGAAAACAATTCATGAATTCGCCGTTGAAGGTAAACAGGATTAAGAATTAATGGAGTCGGTTACTCAACTTACTTTCCCAGCTCACAGATTCAATCAAAGGCATGGTGAAATCATTTATTTTTGCGTTTGATGAATTAAGGTTGCAACGTACCATGTAGGTACTTTCTGGAACATTCAGAGAGTTGTTCCGAGCGGGAATCGAAGACAACCTGCGACATGTGAAACGGCAGCCAGTGTCCCAGCCACCGCGATAACCAGTTTTTTTCTTAATCACCAAATGACTTCTCCCGCCCAGGGTAAGGCGAGAGAGAGTGTCAGACTGTTACTGACTAAAAAGCCCCCGTTCCTTCTCATGCTCTGGGCCGAGATCGCGGTGCCTCATTGCGCTTACCCCGGCTGAACATTAGCCCTAAAGGGCCCCGTCTGTGGTGGTCTATTGGCTCTTTGAGGCGCGCGCGAAACGCTACGCGCCGTACGCTCGGGTCTGGTTCTGGTCGGGCGGCGAGCTACCCTTACTCGCCAATCTCGCCATCCGCAGACCCGCGGTCAAACTCATGACCTTACATTTTTAACTATAAAACTTTCACTCTCATAACTAAAGCAAACAAACATAACAACTAAATTAATTCTTAACTAAAACATTTATGTAAATTTAATTACGCCTTCTGTATTAAAATTAACGTTAAACGTTACATAATAAACCATTAGAAATATTAATTTTATTCAAATGTAAAAATAAAAATGCTAATTTTTGTATCCAGAATGTTCTCTGCACGTCCACGTTCTTTTTAAAAGGTAAACAAAATGAAATAAGGATTCTTATAAATAATAAACTGTCACCTATCACAAATCGTCCTGCTCTAGGAGAAACTACAAAAATATATCTGCGGTCTAAAAACGAACTTTCAACGAAAACTCGGTCAAAAATAAATTGTTTCCCCAATACTTCCTACCCATTACTTCTCATTCCCAAAATCTCTAAAATCTCTAATCCCCAAAAGGCAACGCACTCGGAACTCCTCCGTCGTTGCGGGTGTCCACGGGCGGCGCTGATTGCTTACCATCAGGTAATGTGTTTGCTCGTTTGCCGACTTATTACTTAAAAAAATAATAGAAAGGTTTTCAGAGAAATAAATAATATATTTGACACACAAAAAATTAATACCTCTCGCCTCTGAATAATTACACATCAATATTAGGCTATTTAACAGCTATATCATAAACGCCGAAATCTAGAGATAAACCTTTACATACATCAAATAAGTTGTACACTATTAAGAATCCGCGGAATTCTTCTTGTAGTAGATACCTAAAAATAATTTTGTAAGATATTAGGATGAATGATGGACAAGAAGTTTCAATCTTCAAGTTTTTGCCTTCCTGGGTCGAGAACTTAGGAAACTCCAGACTCTAGAACATACACAATATCATTAGTGTGCATCTCTGCCTACCTTTCACGACATATCTATACTAATATTATAAAGAGGTAAAATTTGTAAGTTTGTATGTAGGGGTTAATTTTTGGAACCGCTGGTCGGATTTCCAAAATTCTTTCACTGATAGATAGCTACAATACTCCTGAGTGCTATAGATTACCTATAAAACATATAAAACATCAGCGGGTGAAACCGCACAAGAATAGCTAGTTATTTATTAAAGACGAACAAATTGTTGACAATTTAAAACAAATAAAGCACGCAATTTTGGGTTTGGGGAAGTCCAACGACCTTTAAATGGACCTGGAAAACAGGTCCAGGTCCAAAAATAGACCTCAAAAGTTGTTTTATTATTAAATATAAGTATTTGTTTACTGGTGCGTTATGAGAAATTTTTTATTCTAATAATTTATATTTTATTGTTTATTTATTAAATAAAACTTACATTAACTTTTCTTATTCAAAATGTAATAAAATGATTATTAATTTTATTAACAATTGTACTTCATACATCACTGACTTGTTTAAGAATGATGAATTACTTACTTAGTGTGTATTAAGTAAAAAAATGTACCAATTATTGATTTGATAAGATTATGTGTTTTTGTACTTAATTACATAATGGATCACTTTTAACGTAATTGTTATTAAATTTAAAAAGTAATAATGTTATTTTCGTAGACATTTCAAATATTTGAGAAATTGAACCAACATAAATGTATGAGATGACTATTTTTAATTTTGTTAATACATTTTAAATCTGTATTTATGAATTTATAAATACGTTTGACATAACCCGTAACCCCCGAACCGGTTTCGAGCCGACTTTTGAATACCGAACGCGACGACGGCAGACGGAATTCTCAATTTGAAAAAAAAATACGCGTTTGGATTCTCGCCCCAAAATTTTACACATTCATTGTAACGATCGTTGACCGAAGGAACCGGTCGAATGCCGGCAATGTTCACGCTCCACGTCTGTTGCTGACTAGCGTTTGTATTCTTATCATTATCAATGATTGAGTTGCCCACTTGATATTAAAAAGCAAAAGGTGTCTTACCTGTGTGATCAGTTCGCTCTCGGACGCGCTTCCGTACGCACACCTCCCCGTCGCCGGCTCGACCCGTCCCGTTAGCACGTGAAACAAAAATGTAATTATTTTAAATATCGAACATTCGAACAATAAAATATTCAAATGCTAAAATTAGCACGACAGTGTAAATAAAATTTGAATGTAAATATTTTAGCAGTGTAAATAATAATTGTGAGTGTAAATATTATAAAAAAAATAGTTGATTTTTTAAATTATTTTGTAAAATAAAATCCTGTGATATTAGTATATTAAGGTGCCCAGTATACGCAAAGACGGCAGTAAGTATTTTTATTATTTTTTAAAATTACGTTCTTGTGCTTGCTTTGGCTTATAATTTCGTAAATGTAAACGAAGTCTCAGCGATGTTGATACTTGTATTGTATAGACAGGTAAAGTTTTTTTTTTGCACGCACAATTTCAGCAATTTTGACTCTATTGTTAACTGCTCATTGACTTCGTTTTTGTTGATAAAAGAGTATTTATACAGTATTAAGGCCACGTGTTGTGCGAAATACTTACACGTATGTAATTAATTATTTAAATTAATACGAAAAAGCAATATTACCTATTACGTATTCAATACAAGGATATCAAGTATAAGTAGTCAAAGAAAATATTGTCACAGTGTACTTCTAAATTCTTAATTGAGTTAATAAACTGGAGAATTTTAGTAAAATAACAATAGCAAAGAAAACATTTATAAATCTTAATTATTGTGATTAAGTATGTAATTGTAATTAGTTATAAATCGAAATAATAATAGGTTTGATTATTACAAAATATAAGATTATAGATACGTAGTATAAAATTCTCGTCATATGGTATTGAAAAATAGTAAGTATAAGTAATATACAAATAATAATAAAAAAATAAAGGTTACAGTCCAAGTAGTATAAAATTTGAAATAAGAATACTGATAGAAAAAGTATTATAACAGACATTTTGATAATAAAAAAACAATAAATTACTTAGACCAGTGTTAAAAAACTCATATCAATAGAAAGTAGGTACCTACATCTAATTAAAAGAAAAAAATGCAAATTATTATTGGCGAAAAGAAAAACGTTATCATTCATTATAAAATTCGAATTTAAAAATGGAACAATAGGTAGGTACAAACAACTCTCACTTCAAAACACCTGTATCGTTGTTATGTTGGTAAACAAATCAAAACAACTGTCAATCGTTGACAGTCAAAACAATAAAGGAAAGAATGCACGATTATTGCCTATTCTATGTCATTTTTTTTTAATTGTTTTACTAACATTATTGCAATCTGACACTTATGACAATCGGTGTGCGTCATTCTGCCTATTGACAATTTTGAAGTGGCTGTTGACTTTAGTTTTCTAAGTATATGTAGTGTTTTGTTGTCGATTTTACTTTTGAGTTTGGACAAATGGGACATGTTTATGATTGATATTGATTATTTATAACAAATTAACAATAATTCATAAATGGTATCATTATGTAGCTACTGATTTGAATATTAATTGATCAAACCTCATACGAACGCCGGCATTCGCTCATTATTGTTCTTCTATTGTGTCTCGAATTACCACGACTGAAAGGTTAAGTCATTGACTGTTGACTTAATCTCCGTTGGCTAGGCCAATATTTTTTATCATAGGACTGCTAGATCCTGATAGTAAGCAATCGGCGGCGCCCATGGACTCCCTCCCCCTTTTGGGGATAAGGGCTTAGGAGATGTAGGGATGGAGCAGCGATTAGGGGAGAGGAAGGATTTGGTCTCCGGTGACGTGACTAAGGGAAACATAAAAAATAGTGCGTAGTGCCTACTTATTATTATCAAAAATACTTTGTCTATTTCTCCGGGTAACTATGAAAAAAAAACATAAATGACATCGATTTTCTTCTTGTACTTACCTACCTACCTATTACATATTTTTTTATCTCGCAAATTATGTATTCTTACAAAACGTTTTATAAAGAGACAAACACAAAAAAATAAAACACCGCGTTTTGATGTGACAGACAATAACAGAGGCGTTTATAACGAGTTTCTAATAGCACCGTTTAGAACTAAATTACTAAAATAAATGTGAGAATTTCCGTTGTTTAAATAAATATATACCTGTGTAGGTTCACATCTTGGCTATAGGTACTAGTTTTCGGATCTTTGGACGGTGTGTAAGGGTAGTTTTCCGCCCAAGCAGAACCAGACCCGAGCGTACGGCGCGCATCGTTCAATAGACCACCACAGACGGGGCCCTACAGGGCTGATGTTCAGCCGGGGTTGCGGAGTAAGCGCAATGAGACTCCGCGACCTCGGCCCAGAACAGGAGAAGGAACGGGGGGTCTTTAGTCAGTAAAAGTCTATCACTTTCTCTTGCTGGAGAAGTAATTTGATTATTTTCCCCTAACAAAAAAAAAAAACTATACTAGTTTTGCCATCGGCTTCGCACGTGTTACCCTAGAAAAACCAGCCTACGAATTTTCAATGACTAGGTCTAAAATGGAATTATGTCTATACCAAATTTCATTCAATTCCGTTCAGTAGTTTGACGTGAAAGAATAACAAACATCCATTCAAACTTAGAACGTTTTCGCATTTTTAAGTAGCATTGGACTATACTTAGTCATTTGAATAATTATTTATCAAGACATTTTCAAAAAAACTCTTTTTAAACATTTTGACTGTTTCTATGTCTTCGTCTTTCGCGAATTTATGTAGTAGTTAATAACCTACATAATTATGTAAGTAATCTGTTTCTTTTTCATTACATTTGACCTTTTCACCTCGAGATTGTAGTTGAATTCTGTAGTACAGAGTCGGATTTTTTTTAATTCCTTTGCATTATAATTGTATATATTTTTTGTTGATTCTATTAACTCTGCATATTTTTTTATTACATGATACTTCTATTTTGAATTATTTTGGTAAGTTACCACTGGTCTCGTCTCCTTTGTATCATGGTCTCGAGATTGAAGTCCGATTTTGTAGTATAAAGTCAGTTTTTTTTTATTTTGGAATCCCTATAGTAGAACCAGCATTGTAATTATACAATATATGTATATACTTTTTACTATAACTTCTGCTTTTTGTTATTTTATTGCATGAGATTTACATAATATGTGTTATGATAATTAACATTTCAGTACCAAAACTATAATTATATAAATAAATATATGGCTATATAGTTTTGTTGTTATTATTATTAGTATTTTGAATTGTTCTCATTGCATAGATGTTTATTATAATCAGTTGGTTGACTTTAGTTATCTTCGCTAATGGTCTCATTAATAAGGTCCGATTTTGTAGTAAAAAGTCAGATTTTTATTGTTAAATCTTCAGATTAGTAACAGCTCTGTAATTGTGTTTTTGTCGTTAACATAAACTCTGTATTTTATTTTCACTTCTATCTATGTAATCCATAGATCATATTATGATTAGTTTACATTGTTCTTATAATGTCTTCAAGATTAAAGTCCGATTCTGTAGTACGAAGTCTGATTTTTTATTATGGAATTCCTAGAATTAGTACCAGCATTGTAATTATGTGTCTTTTTGTTGTTACTATAAACTCTGTATTTTGTACTTTCATTACATGAGATGTATGTGCATATATTATGACAGGTTGGCATTGGTCTTCTAATGCCTTCAAGACTAAAGTCCGATTCTGGAGTACAAAGTCAGATTTTTTATCACGGAATTTTTTGCCCGGATGGCGACTAGCTTAAACCCCTTGATTAAATAAGAATAAAAAACTACATAAATGAAAAATAATGCCTTCTTATTAATCCAAATAATATGTAGATTATTTATTTACTTTTATTTTTCACAGCTTAAAGACGGCTTACAGACTTATAGACAAATTATATAATGACTTAAATATTATCACGTTGGTAATTACACGCTTTCATACACATAAATATAAGAAAAAATAAATATATTGAGTTAAAAAGAAATGATTTTCTATGATTTAATTATTGTAATCTACCTCTGTGAAATAATATTACTACTTATTGTAATACAATAATGCAAATCTAAATGCGAAATTTTAAACGTCGAATGCTACTTTTAGTAATGTTTGCGAAAACAACAACGTTCCATAAGATCAATGTTTACACCGATCTCGTTCTTATTTTGAAAACGGTCACACAACATGGTCGGCTTTTGCGTTCTTTTTTTAAAACGATTTTCAATTTGTAAATAACTGTTATCGGTTATAGGTATGTTACGGTAAAATTACGTTATAATTTGAAAACATTTACTGTTAAACGTGGGCTCGGTAAACTGCATCAAAGACTTTATTAGAAGCTGTTCTACTTTTAAATTTGTTATGCAATTTTTATGTCGTGTTTTTTTTTATTAAATTTTGGCTAGTAGCTGTTTAGCGTTTCCTGTTTATTCATTCCTTAATACTCAAAGCTTTTATAAAAATTCTAAAGTTCTTTTGGTTAGTAAATTACTTATACTTATTTGTTTTTTAGTGAATCTCGCTATTCTCGCGTGGTTTCACCTGCTGCTTGGTTCACACATATACACATCATAGCGTGGTAGTAAAGGAAAAAGGACAAACAAACACAAAAAAAAAAATTGTTCCATTCAAACCAGTAGTTGCGGAGATTAGAGCTTTCAAACCAAAAACCTATACAGTTTTATAATATTAAGTATTGATTTGAATGGTATTGCCGTCCCTTTCCCTAGAAAACACTCTTTACTGTTAAAAATCTTTGGTACCTAAAGCTAGCATATTATGATATTGTATCATTGCCATTTTTCTTTTTTCGAAAAATATCGTGTTTCCAATAACTGTGTTACGAAACACTGCGGTACCAACTTCAGTTCCCTGTTATAAATTACTCAAGAAACTTTGAAAGTTCTTTGGAAAACCGTAATAGGCGAAGTTTTCATGTTGCAGAGACATTATATAGCTTATTGATTATAGACCTATTTGCTTACGAATATTTATCCCCTTTCTTTTAAAATACGTCCAATATTTCTTTTTAGGGATTTTCAAGGCAAGATGACAGAAAGAGAGAGCAATAGGCATTTTTTGAGTTTACGTGTTCTACCTTAGACCCAATCAGGCTTGATAGAGGTCAAACGCAGTCAAATAACTAATAAAAAAAAATCTGCCGCGATAGGTGAATCGAGAGGGAGTGTCAGACTTTTACTGACTAATTATTACCATCCTGTTCCTTCTTCTGCTTTGCGCCAGATCCACGGTACAAGTGTGGGAGAGCCATGCTTCGGCACGAATGGGTCGGCGCGACCGGAGTGATACCACGACCTCACAGAAAACCGGCGTGA